CCTGCAGCTGCAGTGGATCTCCCACACGCTGGAATTCCCTGCAGTGGCAGAGCAGCAGTTCCTCTCTCAGAGTGGCTGCCTCCTGCACCTCGGGCATTTCCAGAGCCACACTTACACAATTTAAACGTTTTTAACATTTGTGCTGTGCCAGAGCTCAGGCTGGCTCTGTGCTGCTGCAGGAATTGTTGCTCTGTGTGCAATCTCCATGCAGATTTCTCCAGCACTTGGTTATTTATTTGTTATTTGAGATGCTGCAAGGAAAAGCCTGTCACGACTTCATTAGTGCGCTTGCTTTTACAAAAACCTGGTAAATATAGAAAAGTTGGAGCTTACACATGGGATACACATGGGTTTCTCAGTTCAAAATACATGGATGGATGTTTTCCTGCCCAAAATGAAGCTGAGTTGATTTAAATTGCAGTTGAAGACACCAGAAGTGCAGAGCTGATTCTCTGCAGTCTGTTTGTTATCAGAGGCTTCTTCCTTCAGAATTGAGTGTGCACCTTTCCTTCTGCTGCCAACTCATTTGCCTTCTTGCAACTTGAGTTTGAATGCATCTATCATTTAAAATATCATATCTTTAATTGATTTCTTTCTTTCACTTTCCTTTTTCTTGAGGTCTTTCCAAATCAGGTATTATTATGCCCCCCAAAAAAATTGAAGAAAAAAAAAAATCCAGTGCAGCACATGGCTAAACTTGGGTTGTGGTTCCTTGTTTGCTGCAAGTCTTTCCTTGTGTTCTGTGACTTTTGGCTAAATTCCTTGTGTGTTTTTAGTCAGTCTTGTCAGGTGTTCAATTAAATAAACATAGGAGAGATTGTAGTAAATATAATTTACTACACCTTTAATCTGTGCACATGTCAAAATTAGAGCTTTCTGTGCAGCACTAAAAAGTTGCCTTTTCAGTTGTGAATTTGTGAGGGTGTGATTAGACTGTGCTGTAATCTGAGCAGTCACTCAGTACAGTTTTGGGTTTATCTGTTTGATTTGGGGTGATTTTTGAAAACAAAAAAGGAAAAGCAAGTGGCTGCACTGGCTGGGATCTCAGAACCCCCCTGAAATGCCAAGACTAACAGTGATTTGTTGTAAAGTTTATAAATACTCTGTGACTAAACCCAGCAAAAGGCTGTGGGTTTTTACTCCAAATCTATAACAGGAGGCTCATCTCTGCTAAAACTTCAGAAATTGTTTAACTGCAAGGATACATTTTACACATTTTTTAGGAGTCATCCTCAGTCCCATCATATCTAAAACTCACAGATGCTTGTAGGCAGGAACTGCTGCTGCTCTGCAAATTGAGGTGTCTGCCTTTATTGGGTGCCATGGCATGGAATTTACCAGAATTCTGCTCTATTTACTCTGCTCTGATGGCATTAAAAGTATTTTTGGTGACATCATTTACTGTGCTGTGGCAGGAAGGTTATTTGCATGCCTGCCTGCTGCATTAGGCTGTCATTCAATCCTTCATTTGATGCACTAAGCACCTTCTGCTAAATGTTGATATTTTTTCCTCTTTTTTCTTCTTTTTTTTTTTTTAGGGGCAAAGAAATCTGTGATCTACAGTTTGAAGAAATTATATAAGATGGCAAAGGGAGAGTTAAAGAAGCCATCCTGAGTCTGTACATACTGTGTATGGGTAAATAAATGGTACTTTTTCTCTAAATGTTTTGCAGATGTGACTTTGCATACTTGAGAAGATTCCAGTGTATTTAAAAAGTCTGTTCTGATGATTTACATGCCCAATTTTCTTAATGAAATTGGAACTTTTTTAATGGGAAGTTTGTTGGCAACAGGGCAAAGGAATTACACTCTGTAAATACTGAAATGAGTTTTCCTGTGGATTTTGAAGAATCCTAAGTAAAAAAAAAGATTGATTGAATAGATGGATTAAAACCCAAAGTGATTCATTTTCTATGTGGTGATAGCTTTACTTCCCATAATGCCCTCAGAGTCTCAAAATTATCAATATCCCAAATTTAGTTATTTTAGGGATTTCCAAACTGGAAAATCCATTGAGATTTCAGTAGAGATTTCTGACATTCCTGCCTTGACAGGTTCATCCTTGGAATTCCTCTGAGGATGCTCCCTGTGGTATCTGGAATCTCAAAATCTGCCCCAGTGTGGGAGAGGGAAAAGAGCAGCTTGGCAGGTGTCACATCCTTTAGTAAGGATATTTAATAATATTAATTAATAAGGATATTTAATAATAATAAATCTGTGTGTTCCTTTTGTGAGGCTGAAATAGGAAGTGCCCAATTCATGGGCATTGTCACAAGGGCCAGAGTTGGAAGGAAAATCAGAATTCCATGGATCTCTTTGGGCAGATTTAGCCAGTATTTATGGTTTTGCAGAAGATTTCATCAAAACACTTGAAAATTTGGAATATTATGAACAAAAGCACAGCTTGGTTAATTCTTTGATTATTTTTTTTCCCCTTAAAATGCTGCCCACAAAGATGAAACTTGAACTCCCTTTAAATGAGCTAAACCAAAGAGAATTGGAATTTTACATGAGTTGTTGCATTAATCATGCCATGGAAGAATGGACATGTCTGGTGCAGTAAACTGGGAGGATCTTTTATAAATAGAATATTTTTCACACTGACTCAGGTGGGTTTGCTAATTTGGGAAATTTTCCTTAATAGAAATAAACTCAGGTAAGGTTTCATTTTCCTTGTGAGACTGTCAATGATGAAAATAATTTAATGGTTAAAAAAAGGAAATAAAATGTATCTTTTCTGATCAGCATGTTTGGGTTTTTTCCTTGTGTATTATGTGATCATCAGGGCCATCTCTCAAGCTACATTTGATTTAATGATCTCACTTTAAAAAATACATTATTTCAGTGAAGCTGTCTGCTAATTGTTTCCAGGGAGAATTTCAGAGCATAAATTTGAGAAAGACAATAAAAAATAAATTGTTGTATGGAATGGGACTCATACAGACTTGCTTTAATCACAGGGAAACTTTTAAGTATTGATTATTTTTAAATATTTGAGTTTGAAATTTTAATCCACCCTCAGGAAATAATTACTCTGAAATAGGAAATAAATGACTGGGAAATTTTCTAAGGTTAGAGGCAGATTCATCACACTTTGCATTATCCATTGGTGATAGAATGTGTGTAACAAATCCCCTCAAATGTCCCTTTGCTGATGGCACAACCTTTTTATGGGGGCAAAAAATGTTTGTATGGCCCTGGCATTCTCTGGCCCTATTAGTAAGAGGCCACAGTCCCCAGTTTGAAAAGTTTATTTTATAAAAAATGGAACCAGGGGATTTAAGCCACTTCCAGGAAAATCTGGAATTTTTTAATGCTGAAATGCAGTTGCTAGCATTTCAAAGCAGCTTTCTTTTAAAAGGCCTTTGGAATACAGTTAAAGAGAATGTTCTGGATGCTAAAGCCACACTTAAAAGTGGGATTTGGTGTTTCTGAGGCTGCTGGAATGGTGGCTCAGTGTTTGGAATATATCTGCTGTTTGAGAATAGAAAACAAACTTCCTTTAGCTTATTTTGTTAATTATGTTAGCACACCTGAGTTTTGGTTAAGCCTTATAGTACATAGAATTCTTTTTTATATCTATTGTATAGCATATCTTGTGATTGGTGGTAGTCTTTTTGGTTTGTTTCCCTGGCTTGGATCCCTTGTGGGAGAGGGGCCTTGCTAGCTGAGAATATTGCTTGTGGTGGTGTAATGATTGTTAGAATTGCCTATTTTTGTGTTGCAAGGAGTGTGACAATTGGCCCATAGAACTTTTCTTTTCTTTAAAAAATAAAAACAGGGGAGATGTTGGGAATTTAGCAGCTAGAGAATAGAAAAGTACAAAGCCGTGGCTAATTCTAAGTCCGGCACCTGCTCGGTTGGCGTGTCCTTGGGCCTAGCTGTGGTAGGATAACAAACAGTGAAAGAGACATGAGAAAAGAGAGATGGAACCCCTAAGGAATGAAGAAGAGTTGATGGTATAGTTTAACCAATAGATTGCTTGGCTTACAGAATATTCATGAGCTTATTGTTTGCTGTATAAGTGTCTGATGCTCTCTTCAATAAACGGAATTTCCTTATCACTCATATTGAGTGTCCGAGTCTCCCCTCACCGACAAATGGCTCGACCCTGACAAAGGCCCACATTATTTTTTCTCACTAACAGCTCAGAGCAGGAGAGGGCAGTGACACACCAGGCTGGTGACAGTGAGGGCCCAGGCTCCATCCTGCACCGTGCTGCCCCAGCATTTACCCAGAAATAAAGTTCTTGTGGGGAGAAAGGAAGAGAGTGAAGCCCTGCTGGCTGTTCCGCGGCCAATGAACTCTTTTTGTGTGCAGCCGGGCCCTGCCCTGGGCTGTGCCTGTCACCCTGCACAGGTGGGACTTTACTGCCCTTCCTGCACCCTGAGCCAGCTCTGTTTGCCTTGTGCTGCCGGGTACCCCTGCAGGGCTCGGCTGGCCTTCATGAACTCTGTGCACAGCAACAGAAGGAGTCATTTCTTGCTCTTTGCAGCGAGTTTTGCAAATCCCAGCTCGATACTTCCACTGCCAGTATCCAAGTCCGTGCATTAAATCTTTGGGAGACGTAAAAAAGTCCTTCCTCCTCATCCATATGGGCTGAAAAGTGGATTCTGCTCTGTAAATCATTCATCTTGTGCTTTTTAAGAGTGGCCTACCTTTCCCCTCGGGGCCACTGGGCTTGAATGTATTTATTTTTCTGGCAGAGAGCCACGAATGAATCATAGCCCTGAGCAGCTCGTTGTGAACTCCTCACCATTGTTAAGAGACTACTTGGGGCAGTTGTTACAGAGCTTTGCTATGTAAAACTTTTAAGGGAAGAGAGATTGATTTCAGCCTTGCTAGCTGCTTTTGAAGTCCCCAGCAGTTGTGTGGAAATGATTTTTTGTGCTCTTACAGCTGTAATCCACTAAAATAACCGGGGATTGTTGCACGGGAAGCTGGGACATGGGAATAAGTCACTGCCTCTTTGTCCTGATGAGGTGTGGTTGTTCTTTCACCAGAAAAAGTCACTTCAGCCTTTCATTCCATTTGTAACTTTCCTGTTTATACCTTCCTGCTCCATTTCCATTCTTTATTGTTTCTCTTCTTGACTTGAGAATTAAGTCTTTCATTCTGTTCTTCAGCCATCCCTCTTTTCTGCCTTGGCTGTTCCACCGTGGATATTGTTTCATGCTCCCTCCCCCTTTTTCCTGTGCAGCAGAGCTTTCATTAAAGGCAACCAGGCAGATGATTTATTTCTGATGTCTTAAAAGGCTTCTTTGTAATGAAGAGCCTGGACCCAATCAAACTGCTGAGGGTTTGTGTAGGTGAGTCAGCAGCATGGGCCTCACTGCCTCTGACATCCACAGTGCCAGGGGAGTGTGGAGCAGGGAATGAACTGGATGACACAGGAAGAGGAGGAAATCAAAAAATCCACAATGTGACTGCATACATAATCATTTGGCTGCTCCTGAACTCGGTGTGGGGAGGGCACAGAGCTGAAG